TTTTATAAATGTCACTGTTAATTTAAGTTATTGAGTTTAATTTAAAAGCCTCACAAAAATACTTTATTCATTCATTCGTTTATTTTCTTTTCGGCTCAGTCCTTTTATTAATCTGGGGTCACCACAGCGGAATGAACCGCCAACTTATCCAGCATATGTTTTTACGCAGCGGATGCCCTCCCAGCTGCAACCCATCTCTGGGAAACATACATACATACTCATTCACACTCATGCACTACGGACAATTTAGCCTACTCAATTCACCTGTACCGCATGTCTTTGGACTGTGGGGGAAACCATAGCACTCGGAGGAAACCCACGCGAACGCAGGGAGAACATGCAAACTCCACACAGAAATGCCAACTGACTCAGCCGAGGCTCGAACCAGCGACTTTCTTGCTGTGTGGTGACAGCACTACCTACTGCGTCGCCAAATTACTTTATTATTTGATATAAAACTATATATTTTTTATTTATTAAAATAATTTCCAATTATTTAAAAGCCTTTTCAGTGTCAGTTTTCAGCCAAATGCATCTAGAATTTTCCGTTTCAATCAACAAGCTTCATTTCGGTGCTTCCCTAATCTTGCTATAAGAGGGTCTTTTTGCATTGCACAACTCAAAAACAAGGCGGCAAAACATCTAATTATTATAAACATTTTAAATTATAAACATTTAATTACTATAAAAATAGAACCAAACCCTTTTTCCCCAAATGTCATTATTATTAACAAAATTGTTGTTATCAGACATTTATAAAATACTTATTTAACGTGTTGAAGCAACTCAATTCTTAAGTTTATTAGGGGCAACTTGACTGTTTTATGTTCAACTCACTTACATTTATAAAAACAATCAAGTTAACCGAATTCTTTACTTTTTCATCATTTCTATTGTTAAAACATTCTCACATTTCGCAGGGTTGTAAAACCCAACAATGTTTTAACACTACACATATATTTACAATATTTTTTGTTAATTCGGTTTAATTTCTGAATGTTAAGTAATCGTAAGTGGTAGTTGTAGTTGTTGTTGTTGTTATTAATAATGCTGTTGTCATTTTCACTGACATTATTACTATCATTATTATTATTGTACTATCTATCTATTATATGTTTTATTTAAATCTTTATTATTCTTGCTTCATTTTTTTGAATTGTTGTATATTTTTATGTTCTCTTGTGTATATACTTTGTTTGACTTGTTCACCCAGTTACCTTTACATGCGCGCGCACAACAGGATTGTTTTTTTCAGCAGGGTGTTTTATGTTGATTTTCTCTATAGAGACTTTTTGGATCACTTGTTTCTATTTTAAGATGACCAGATGGTTTTAGTTTCAGTTGTGTTTGGGAATTATGACTAATATTACACTCTTTCTTTTCAGACACCCCTTTTCTGGCCGTGAGGGACCCATCTCGAATGGCTCTGGCTTTATAATAAGTAGCGATGGCCTGATAGTGACAAATGCCCATGTGGTCAACAAGCGTGGTGTTCGTGTCAAACTGACCAATGGTGAGACTTACAACGCCACAGTTCAGGATGTAGACCAGGCTGCAGACATCGCCACCATCAAAATCAATGTTAAGGTACAGATGGAGCTTTGAGGTTGTACTGTTAACATATGTAATCTTTTTGGGATATTTAATTTTTTATTAGGGCTGCACCGATCCTGATACTTGGATTGGATATCGGTTCAATACTGCATATTTTTACTGCAAATCCCATCTTGCACGTGATCTATATTCTGTGTAATTTATAAGCAAAGAAAAGCCAAAAAGTTAGCCTTTTATAAGACAGTAGAAAATTGTCTTGTAGGCCTACTGTATCTCAAATGTTTTGAAGCCATTCTATAGTTTAATGTGAAGTACACACTGTTAAAAATTGTCCCGTTAAAAAACAGTAAAATACTGGCAGCTGCTGTTGCCAGCAATGTACTGTTATTTTACAGTATGTCGCTGTAAAAATACATGAACTACATTGATTTACACAATACTCAAGGGAACTCATTTTGTTCACTGAAAGCAACTGCCTCAAATTGGTCAACTGCTGAATGAGTTTATGAAGTATTGTGCTATGCATGCTTAGAAGTATACTTATAATGATAACTTATTTTAGTTAATTAGAAAAGTTCGGTTTAACTCTAACGTCTTATATTTCACAACAGCACACAAACATGTAAATCTGGAACTACCAGAGATTCTGACTGCATCAGCAACTAAACAGCCGCTATCTTTAAATAGAGAAACATGCAGAACAACATCAGCGGTTCACTGTTCATCTTTAACTCATACACTGGCTCTACTCTTCTCCACAACGGTGACACACAGAAGAAATTAGCTTCAGGTTTTACAGTAAAATACTGTTTTTTCCTTTATTTAACAGTAAACTACTGGCAGCTGTGGTTGCCAGCAATCTACTGTTTTTTTACAGTCTATTTCCGTAGTTTAAATTAACAGTATATTACTGTTAAAATACATTTTACACTGAGATTTTACCTCTCACACCTTTAACCCTTTAAACCCCAGAGCATATACTTCAGTTTTAATTGAAGTGTCCACACTACTGAGTGTTCAAGAAACGTGTAGCAAAGCTGAAGTAAATGAATTAATCAAACGACTAATTAAATGATGATTGAGGATTAACGATGAACAAATGAAGAAATACTGAAGGGAAAAAACAAGAACAGAACATACAAAACTACAACTTTAGTCACAGCATTATAATAAAATAACCTGAAGGTCAACAAATGATTAAATCATTTGAATGATCAGCGGATCAACTCTACAAACATCATCACCAGCTTCACTTATTACTGAAACGTTTATTTTTGTGTAACATCTACTAAAGTTCTTCTTGAGAGTAAGAGTAACATTTTACGTCACCATCATGGAGAACAGACTTTGCTTTAGTTGGGCTTTTAGCCCTCACATCATTATCAATAATATATTTTGGCTGCTGCAATTGTTAGGAGCTTCGTTTAAAAAACTTACTTGATGTGGCAAGCCAGCCAAAAACCTAAAGAATGTCTGTTAATGTTTATGTTGCTATTAAATGCCAGAATCTATTCTAATTTAATGTAATATTATTTACTGCTCTTATTCAACGTTAATTCTATTGTTTCACAATATATGTGGCAATGATTTCTAGAAGTTTTTAAGAATATCTTGGACAAAAACACTTTGCTCTATGATGTAAGTTGCACTCAAACAGACATCGATAATCAGCATATAAACCTCAACTATGGTGACAACTAACAAAATTAACAGTTTAACTCACAAACAGGCAACTAAAAGTCTAAACATAAATAAAAGCAGAATAAAACGCAAATAAAGAAAACTGTAAGACCATTATACTACATTTATTCATGCCGCAATGCATGCTGGGAAATTTGTACTGTGCCACAACCAGCATGCATTGCAGTATGAAACATTTTAATTGTTACCATTGTTGAGGTACAAGGTCTGATTCATGAGGTCTGAGTGTGTCTTTATCTTAACTGAACTGTGTTTGTATGTTATCTCTTAACTGTAAAGTAATTATATAAGTATCTTTTATGTTTCCACTTATTAATTAAATTAATATCTGCAACTAAGCATAAAATTTATTGAATGATACCCTTCATCCAGGTTTATACCCAAACATTTATCAGAACTATCTTCAGACAAATAGATTAATCTATCTATTGACTTTTCCACATCAATGCTATAATAAAAGTGTTTTGTAAACTCTGTTTTACAGCAGCAGGAAAGTCTAAATAAATAAGTTTAAGGGTGAAGACAGCAACTAAACCAGCCCCTCACTCCATTACGGTGACACGAAAAACACCTAAATTTCTGTTGGATCTCAATGTAAATAGTATGGAAGTCAAATTAGTCAGGAATAAGTGTGTCTGCTGTTGTTTGTGGAGTTGTTTAATGATCCTCTGCTGAGACTGAAGGTGTTTTATTTGATTTGATTTTATTTAATGCTGTAACTGACGTCACTGTTTGTGTTTCTTTCCTTCAGTACTTGTGATTATTAACAGCGGGTGTTCATCAGTGTCTGAATTCTCTCATTAATGTTCATTAAAAGTGTCAGGTGAACTATATTGGTGAACTAGTTGATGGAATAGTGAACAAGGGCACAAAGTGTGATTTTAAACACAGACTTCAAAATATCGAATCTGAACTCTGTTAGCTCACAGCTTTCTTCAGTTGGTTACTTTCTCGAAAACAAAATGTTACCCAGAATGCACTGTTTTTAACAGAATACTACTGTTTTAGTGAAAAAACATCATTTTTCTGTGGAATCTGACCGTTTTTTAACAGCAATTTTTTACAGTGCAGATCAATATTCACATGGTTAAATTCATGTTCAGTTCTGCGCTTCCCTCCGCTGCGCCTGTCAATCATTCTCCGTTTATTTACAATTCAAACTGCGTGTCACGTTCATGACAACATGAAAAACTTTCTCCAACACTATTTGTCCCTGTTAATTTAAATAAATATTAATTTATTATATTACATTATATTAATTTATTATAATATAATATATATTATATTGGTTCATTTCGACCTGAAACGACGAGTTCATTTCTGTTTCTAAATCATGTAGCTGTTAGATCAGCAGATCGCATTCGCAACACTGGAACTGAGTGGGTTATTACCTGCTCTTCACACACAAAGTAGGCCTACCTGAAATTTAAAACTAGAAAAGGCTCAATAATACATTGGACAGATCCTTAACGCGCTGATTTCTTCCCTTTTTACTGCTGTTTTGGATTGGAAGTGTCCACAGATAACGGAGGACTGCGCGCTGTCTCAGTGATGCATCAAGCACTTCATTCACACACCGGCTGATGTGACGTGTGCCGCTCTGTAAAATTATCACAAGTGCGGTAGGAGTATTTATAGCCGCAGACATGCAACCTTATTCAGTGGTAGAAAATTCTGGTTTTAGGTATTTAGGGCGTACTTACACTATGCTATCCGAACCGTACCCAGGCCCGTTTCCCGGTTATTGGGTCTTTTTTTCAGACTCTTGGTTTGGAGAATCGGGATGGAAAAGGCGTTACATTGGAGTGATGATGTTGACTTTGACCCCCAGGTGCCAAACACTTTTATTACAATTTTACAGGAGAGCAAAATTCATACATTATGGAATCTACAGATTTTTGTTATATGCCACTAGATTTGGCTCTTAGAAATTCAAGTGCTGGAATACCTGGAAAATTGGCTTGTTCTGTTGAAAAGTGCTTAATTTATCAAGGAGAATTTGTATGCAATTTTCACGCTTGAAAAATAAAAATGTTTGTGAATTTTTGTGACAATTTAATGCAAAAATACCTCCACAATATACCGTGATTCCGAAGCAGTGATTTAAATGATATGAGAAGTGGCCAATCACAGTCAACCTTGTCTAGTTTTACTTGAAATGTAAGAGCGGGACAAAGGCCTTTCTGTGTTGCAGTGACAACAAAAAAACAACTTAAAAGCAAGTTTTTTATTGGAATAATGCTTTTGGGATGTTTTCACTATAGAGATGTCCATGTTATTAGCTTGAGTAATTAAAGCGCAGAGATACTTCCTGCCATTTCAATGATCTACACGCACATTTTGCTCTCTTCTCTCCGCTCTCTTCTTCTGACTTGTCTGTCACTCTTCTGAATGTCGGCGCGGGAATGCAGGTATTGTGCAATTACTCATTTCTGCAAACGTATTGAGCGCTTTATTTTAACATGAGAGCGCAGTCATGTACATAAATCGCAAAAACAGATATGCAAGCTCTTAAATAGGCTTTTTCAAATTACCTGCAAGTCCTCTCATCATATCGTGTATGTGATCAGACTGTATACAATCGCGATCTCTTCAATATTAAAGTAGAAGTTATTTATCTTTGCTCCTTGACTAAATTTAGTATTTAGATTACAGACTTTTTGTTTGGCTGTATCGTCAAATGAAACTTAGATTGAGCAAAGTTGGAACTTTTTATATTTCTTTAAGACAAAAGAATTATGCTAGAATTGTTTCTGTTTGGGGTATTTGTGGGATTTATACATTATAGCTGTATTCTGATCTGTCTTAAAGCATCACTGAATTGTACAGGCATTACAGGTCAAAGCTATCTACTGTTACATTTATCATAATAAACAATAAGGCTCTTCAAACACCTACTATGAAAAATGCAGTGTTGTCATATTTCAAATACCTAGAGTTAAACAAAGTCATTTGCTTTATTATTTTATTACTGACAGTGTACTTGTCTTTTTTGTAAAATTATTTCAGTTTAAGATCAAGTGTAAAATAATATTTCCATGTGCTGTACAGCTATTTAAGAAACAAATTTGCCATATTGTAAAGACAAGAATGAGCAAATAAGAAAAATGGTGTAAAATATGTAAATAAAAGGCTAAATTTAAATCTTTTCATCATATACTTAAATCTTTCAAAACTTGAAAATATTGTTTAAAAACATGGACAAAATGTGTCTCTGGTCTTATAGAGTATGTGGTAGTTTTGCCAGTACTATTGAAAAAGATTAATTGTCATGGAAGGAAAAATCGACCATACTTCCTTTGTTAGTGCACAGTTTTATATATGTAGCTTTGTGATTTAAGCAATTAAACCATTCAAATAAATGTATTATTATTTCTTTTAAAAAGAGCCATAATGAAATCAGAGTTTTTTCCCAAAAAATATCTAACTAGTACTCTGAGTAGTTTTTAAAAGAGTACTTTGTATTTTTACCCAATGTTAGTATTATTTACCAAAACTTGTATTATTTTAGCAGTGTAATAGTATTTTTACTTGAGTACAAAAAAAAACATTTTCACAAGCACATTTAGTGCAGGTTTATTATATTATTAATACACAATTGATTAATTAATTATATTATTAATATTATGAATATTAATGGTTTTTAGTTATATTTATTCCTGTGCAGTGTTTTAACATGTTGCGTGTCAGTCTTGAAAATAAAAATAGGTGCTGGAAAAAAGTGCTTAAGTCCTTGATTTTCATTAGGCTGTGCCTGTATGAGCCCTGTAAAATTCAAGATATTGGGGAAACAAAAATTCCCATTTAAGGTTTTAGTTTTGTATACATAATGTAGAATTGAGCAATATCACTAAATATTTTTTGTCCCAAATGACATGAGTTTAATTGCGGTATTGATTTAAACAGTTCTGTAAATAATTTATATATGTGTTGACAAAATTCTTAATCTAATACATTTACTCAGTTGATGACAGTTCTAGTTTCTTGTTCTGATGATTATTTCATTAAACCAAATGATTTAATATTTTCTTATTAATCATAGGTAAATGAATAAATAAATGGATAATAAATAATGGAATAATTATATCATTTATTCATTTTGGTTTAGTTTTAAACGTGTATCAGTTTCTTTATTTTGGTTAGTTTGTAACCAAACTGTTTTAGAGTGTCCAAATACCAATTTAGAGACCTCTGGAAATTTACATTTATTTGTAATAATGTTGAATAGAAAAAATTATTATCTTTTTTCTAAATTTATACTTGATGTTTTTGTATTTAACAATTATGAGTGAAACTTTTGTATTTTGAGCAGTTTCTCAGTAAAATTTAAGATGGATACACAGACAGACAGACAGACAGACTCTGAATATTTGCTCTGAAATAGCATGTAAGTGTGGCTTAGTAATAAATGTAATTCCTGCACGGTGCCGGCCGAACACTAACTAACTGGCGAATGACACTAACTAGTGGGTTGTCTGCTGTTGTGACGCGGTGCACGCATTCGCGATTTCTGGAGGCGTGGCTTTGCATCACAGTCCCTCTCCGCCGTCCAAGGTTAATATGTTTATCGATTAGCATTTTGGCAGATCACCTACTGCACCTCTAATTTATCAGTACATGCTATAATTAATCAGATTAAATGTGTGTTATGGATATTGAACGATATCCACAGCCCTGACTAAAAATAAATTGCTCATAAATTTTGGTCATAAAATGTGCAGACACTGGTTAATAATCAATATTATTAGCTCACGTGTGTTTGTCCAAACTGTTACATGGATTACACTTTTGCGTATTTGCCTGTGCACACATTCCTGTCAACACAAATAAACTTTGCACTGAAGTGAGTCTTTTATTATCTTTAAATTCTCTTTTTCCCCTCCTCAGTATAATCGAAGAGCTAAGGATGCGAGACCCGTCCTTCCCTGATGTTTCTCATGGAGTTCTCATCCACCGTGTGATTGTAGGATCTCCAGCCAACAGGTGTGCTGCTCTCTGAACATGATGTTATCAGCTGTTGATTAAGGCATCCTTTTGATGATGTCATTTCCTGTTTTCTGTTTTGCAGAGCCGGAATGAAGCCAGGAGATGTTATTATTGAGATCAATGGGGTAAAGGTGAACACGTCGGAGGAGATATATAATGCTGTGAGGACCAGCGAAAGCTTAAATGTGGTGGTCCGCCGGGGGGCCGACCTGCTCATGCTGCACATGACCCCAGAGTCCACAGAGTGACATCAAGTCAAGTATTTAGTAAGATTAAGAAATGGTGAGTAATGAGAAGCTGTCATAGTTGGAGATGTTGTAAGAAAGGAATCATCTAAAGAGTTGAACAGTTTTAGCAAACGCTGGACATTCGTGTAGTAAACGTGTTTCTGGAAGCGTATGAAATAATGTGGATGATTCAGACTTCTGTACACTGGATAAACCTCAGTGTGTCTGCGCAAACTACACTATCAGTATTGATTTGAAGGAATATCACTGAATATTTTGTTTAGGATTGTCATGAGGGCAACAAACACTCAAAGACCTTAATAAAACTGGGTGCTCTTATTGTGAAAATGCTGATGTTTTGTATTGAGTCTCACATTCTCATGTTACGACGTTTGTATTTTAATACATTTTTCTGAACAGCTCTGATTTCACAATAAACCATTGGAATATTTATGGATGATTTGCTTATGTCGCAGTGACTGATATGTTTAGGTTTTGGGTCAGCGCTGTACAGCATTCTGAAAAAGTGTATTTCTAAAAGTGCGCCGTAATGACGCCAGTGTCAACTGCAGTGTGTGTTGGAAAGGACTGGATGCTGTTCAAACCTCATGCCAAATTTTTGTCACCCCATACAAAACCAGTTTAAATCCACACAATCTGACAACACTGGGGCTAGATCACAATATAAGCCACAACACAAGTGAGTTCAATAAAATATATCTTTATTACAGACATGTACAAAAATCAAATATACAAAACATTCTGCTAATGTGACTCAGAACTCCAGCATGGACCAGTCGTGGTAAGGCATCTCTTCTAGAGGAATTCTGCACTCTGGATTCTCATGCAGACAAGCCGTCATCATATCACAGCATTCTGTGAAGAAGAAATGGAGAGGTGAGGTTATTGTTATTATTATTATTAAGCTGTTTCACTTAATTGTTCTTTGATGAACATCTCACCTTGAGAGAGGGTAAATTTGGACCAGTCATGTTGGAGGTAGTACAGGTCATACGCTGATGGGAATTCTCCATGGAGCATTGTGAACAGAAGAACCCCAAGAGAATAGACCGTCGCTGGTTTGGCCCGGTAGCATCCTTTTTCATAAAACTCTGGCGGGATGTACGCTTCTGTGCCTGGAGGAGAGACGTTTAGTTTAGCATCATGTTGAATATATATACCAGATGGGCTTCAGCTGTGCTAATTAACCAGCTTTCAATACGTATATTAATAATGCTTATGCACATTCAGAACTAGTGTTGTCAAAAGTATCAACTACCAATCGATACCGACACTCATCACAGTCATATTTGCTGAGCATGTGAACACCAATGGCCAATCAGTGGTGTTTAACAGCGCTCAAATTGACTTGTTAAATGTCAGAATCGATTGGTACCGAAGTCGATACTTTTGACCACACTATTCAAAACACCTACCAGAGAAGATACTGTAGGCTGATTCCATCATGAAGTCTCCACACCCGAAGTCGATCAGCTTGACTTCCAGTGTGTCGGGGTTCACCAGCAGGTTTTGAAGCTTAATATCCCGGTGGAACACCCCACGGTAACAGCACACGTTGGCAGCATAAACAGCTTGCCTCATGATGGTATGTGCTGTTTTCTCACTGAGGACTCCTCCGCTGACTTCAAGGAATGCCTCCAGGTCCATGCTTGGACTAGGCCGCTCCATCACCATGACATAATGGTTTTTAAAGACCTGCCAGTCCAGGAGCTTAATAATGTTCGAACACCTGGAGCCACCGCTGGCCATGTTTGCCAAGGTGATCTCTAGAGGAAGTGGCTGGTCACATGACTGAAAACAAAATAATAATGTTGGTTTTCAAACAAGGGTTTCTGACCACAGCCTGTGGTCTATAATAAATATAAGACTTTATAAACTGAACACAGCGAACAGAAAGTGTAGTCTACTCACAGAGCTGACATCTTGCATATTTGGGGTCTTCTGGACAAATTTAACTGCCACCTGTTTAAAGGAACAAGCGAACAATTAACATGTGCACGGAGATCATTTCATTCAGTCATAAATCCTGAACAGAGGATTCATTCGTCAGCAGAAATGTCCAAACAATGAAAGCTCTGATGATGTTCTTTAAACAGGGAACTTCATCAGAGGATTTGAGTCTACAAAAATGAATACCTGCAGACCATCCTGTATGCGAATCCCCTCATACACGGAGCCGAAACCTCCTTCACCAAGCTGCTTTCCGAGTTTGTAGCGGCAGCTGATGTCATCTGTTAAAAATGAAGAAAATGTCATTAAATTATAAACCAAATAAAAACACAAACAGTTGAAGTCAGAATTATTGTCAGATTTCAGAACATGATAGTTTTAATAACTCATTTCTAATAACTGATGTCTTTTATCTTTGTCGTGATGACAGTACATCATATTTACTGGATATTTTCAAGATACCAGAGTTCAGCTTAAAGTTCTGAATACTTAAACTTTATTGCTCTGCATCATTTGGGAAATATTTTAAAAATATTAATAAAAAATCACAGGAGGGTGAATAATTTTGACTTCAACTGTATAATTTTACAAAGTTTGATGAGCCTAAACAAATGTTCTGAACTCCAGCAATAAACTTACTATTGTCCAAGCAGGTCCCATCATCTGCTGTAGACTTCACAGCAGAGTCCTCTTGTGAGACCTGATCCGGTGAAGGGTTCGAGTTTTCATCCAGGGCAGAGTCACAGATGTCATCAGTTATGAGCTGCTGGCTCACTGGAAGTTCATTGTCCTCATCGGATGGTGAACTTGGAGGACTATCAAGCTCTTGCTCCAGGCTGTCCTCACTGAGGGAGGATTCGTTGTCTGCTGGGAAGTGAAGCTCTGCAGAGTCGTTCTCAATGACCACTGCAGAGTCAAAGCTGTTCACTTCCGGTTTAGAGTCTAAATCTTCGTCTGCTGGAGCATCAAGAGCTGGAGGTTGGAGAACTTCCAGCTCCAGGTTGCTCACAGCAGTGCAGAAGAATTTAGAGCTACTGATGGGCTCTGCGTGAAGTTCGTGGATCTCCTGCACACATAGCTGATCTAAAGAGAGGAAGGAACATCATTAATATGACTCTACAACTCTTTTTGACAAGATATTTGAACAGTTCATTTGCAGAAACATTACTCAATGTGTTTTTATTGATGATCTTCATGGGTTTTCTGCATTAAATTAGCAAACAAGTAAACTATATATCTAAAGGCAAAGCTCACTGAAATAAAAAATCCTAATACAAATAATTCTTATTTTTTCTGTTTTTTACACAAAACTACAAATTCTGAAGAAAATTCCTGAAATCAGCAGCCATTAACCTTCATTGTAGGAACACAAAATACTGTGGAAGTCAATGGCTGAAAGCACCTCAAACAGGTTTAAGGAGTAAATTATGACAGAATTGTCTTGTTTATGTGAACTGTGGCTTTAAGAAACTCTTTGTAAAATGTCTTCCAGTAATGTTCATTTCTGATCTTTAAACACTTATGTGATGTGTTTGGTGTGTTTAACAGTATGCTTTAGTAATTAAAAGTGCTCATAAATCTATTTTACCAACAACAGTAGCTCTTCTTCTGGAAAAACAGGCGAAGAAGATGGGAGACAATTTGAGTTTCCTCTTTTTCTGTCTCCCTGCCTGTTTTCCTGCAGCGACGGCCGGGTCATCGGTCATCAGATGACGGTGATTCTCTGTCGTGCTGCCGGTGGGTTCGAGTGGCTCACACGGTTGTTCGTTCGCACACTTAACACCAAACGCTTTCTTCAGACGGTTAATCAGTTTTGAAAATGCCATTTTATCACTGTACTGTTGAAACGCAGAAAGTACTGAACTACTAGACATCCAAAGAAGCTAATGAGAGTTTCTGCTACGTCAAAAAGCTTTATACTGTCACCGATGATGTCAGAGTTCCACAATTCCATTTGGTATTACGTAGAGACTTTTTAAATCACAACAAACTTCTAATGCAGGCCCGCGCTAGACTGACTGGCTCATTCGCCTTAATGTGCTCACACAGCCACCTGCTTATATACACATTTTTTCCAATTATTCATTTATTTATTTTTGCACTTAGGCCTATGTATTTTTTTTCTGTCATGCACAACTTTTTCTGCGTTTTGCTTTTTATCACAATTATTACCATGTTTATGGTGTGTGTGTGTGTGTGTGTGTGTGTGTGTGTGTGTGTGTGTGTGTGTGTGTGTGTGTGTGTGTGTGTGTGTGTGTGATTCATTTATTTTGAGTAGCACATTTCAGTTATTTTATATTTTCATTATCAATTATTTATCATTTTTAACTGTATTATTATTATCATTTATATTATATTTTATATATTATGATTATATAAATTCGTTATTCTTGTGAATTCTTTTTAAATGAATAATGCTTCAAATAATAAATTAAAAAGAAAAATATGCAACAAAATGAAGTTATCCATGTATTACCTGAAACCGCCAGTAGGTGGTGGTAGGACACTGTCTAAAGTGAATAAGACATTTATTCAGCAACAAAGCAACTGTTGTATTTATGAATAGGTCAAGGATGAATCGACTCTCACAATTTATTTAACTTAAATCCACAGATTCATTCTCAAAAAATAACCCACTCTAGCCTAAATAAGGACTGAACCGATGTGAACGCTAATAGGTAGGAATAATGATCAAATTCTTGTGGATTAAACATCTTTATTGACATTAATTGCAGTAGATTTTATTAAGTTACAACAAAAGGTAGGAAATGGTTTTAATTGTGAACTGTACTTATTTTGTGTGAACATGCTACATGCTAACACCGTCACAGCATTCCAGTCAACTAATTTAGAGCTACTAACGTTAGTCAACAGTCCCCACCTTCACTAAGTGAAAAATGCGAATTAAAAAGAAAAAATAACATAAATAAAATAAACAATTACAAATTAAACCAATGAATATTAAAGTAAGTGTAATTAGATCTAACGTTTATTACTGTATGTCACAGGCTAGTAGCGCCAATTAGCATTTGATGCTAATGCTAACATTGATGCAACTTAATGTAAATATTAATGTTATATTAACGGTACTGTATCTTTAAACTATCTATTGTTTTACTTAAAAGCTCGATCAAACCTTCAACATTAACATCAGTCAGATTAATTGCTATTTGAGTGATTCTATTAATATTAACATACATTTGTTTCTGTCTAGTTAACTTTAGGAACTATACAGGGAGAGGAATTGTTTAGTTTTATATTACAGAAACTCGATATTTCTTTTCTATATTTTTGTTAGGCCACAGTTTGAAATGCCATTCTGCAGGCTGAAATGGCATATTTAACACAATTAACCACGGCTTTACTACAAAAAATACAGTCAGGTTTATTTTGTGTGGATAAATGTAAGTTTACTGTAATAAAACTATGTTTTTGTCTTACTGGCTAAATGGGCTCATGAAAGTGTTTCACATAGAAATGAATAAAT